GTTGCGGCCGAAGTTTTCATCTCTCAAACGTGAACGCCGAACGTCGAGCGCCGCTATCTTGTAAGCGGCGCTCGACGTTCGACGTTCACGTAAACTTCAGCCGCAACCTTTTAGTATTATATTTAAATTGTATTTTGTGTGGGACTATAGCAACTTGAGTCAGTTACGTTAAAGATTTTATATCAATTACTTTAAAAAAAAAAAAATATTTAAAATATATTTTAAGCTTAATTTACGAACAGTTTTTAATCAAGTTAATCCGAAAATTTATGAATAGACTGTATGTATTTAATCGAAATATCTAACTTAGATTAAGTAACGTACAAAATAGCATTGAATTTATTAACAGTTAAGAGGTTTTGTTCTTATAATAGCATGGTATTTCGGTAAGAAAAACAAGAAATCGATAAGTTCTCATCCTTGAAACGTGAATAATCTGTAGGTGATTTAATTACTGTTATAACATTGTACAACTTAATTTGGTACTAATTTATTATCCAGTCAACTATTTAAGTTAAACTCGTAGGAATAAGCTTTGAAAATATCGTCCTTGCTGACTAATATATCTCTTCAACGATCGCCAGGTGGTCCATTGCTATAAAGTAAAAGTCTTACGAGAGATTCATAAATTATGTAGCAGCTCAGACTAACATATTTTTATAGGTTAATTAAAATATCCGAAAGTAATATATATCAAGGAAGTGACAGTACGACAGTCACTTCTTACGTAAAAATTCTTTCTCGGAAGAATACAAATATAGATAAGAGACGTTTTACATTTAATTAATTATCAATTTGAATAATAACTTAAGTTAATTAACTTCGATTTTAATAAAATATTTTAAATTAATAAAAATAATTTTTGAATTAGTAATAATTTTATGCACTAGATGGCGATGTATACAGTTTTATAATATTTAAAAGTAATCTATAGGGATTTTTCCCTACAGATTACTTTTAAATATTATAAAACTGGGGTTTTTCCCTAATATACGGATTATTTAGTCTTTTAAAAGGGGGACTTTTAAAAAAAAAATCTTAAAATAATTTAAGTAAAAAGTAATAAAAAAAAAGTATTAAATAAATAGAAATTTCAATTTTACTGAAACAAAATTGTGGGGAATTTTCCTTAAATTTAAGCAATTTTAAAAGATATTTTTTATTTTTATGATGATAATATCCAAGTAATGTCGAATATAGAATATAGAAAAATTTTCTTATTTAATAAGATTTTATCATTTGAATATAATATAGATAAAGAAAAGTTATTGAAAGAAATTAGAGTGATTTTCCTTTCTAAAGAAGAAATTCTGTGGTATAAAGAGAATGTCTTCAATCCCATAAACATGGATAAAACAATCAATAGAATAAATTTCTTTTTTGGCTTGTTAACTTAGACTGCAACAACATATAAATGGTTACAGAATACAACAGGCAAATTGCTATACCCATTCTCTTCACAAAGTATTACGCTTATACAAGTCAATTTTCATTTAGGTGCTTACCAGGTAAGCACTTCTCGTTTGCATAATCCAGTAGAAAATCTACATATTCTTACAAAATGAGAATTAAATTTCACCTGTTTTAAGTACTTAAACAATCTTAATTCCTTTAATGTTACCCTACAACTATCAAGATCTAAAACTTTTAGTAATTTATATGAAAAATTTATCTTTCAAGTAATAATAGAGAGGTTGCGGCCGAAGTTTTCATCCGTAAAACGTGAACGTCGAACGTCGAGCGCCGCTTACTTGTAAAGTGGCGCTCGACGTTCGACGTTCACGTTTTACGCCGCAACTTCTCTAATGTTAATATAGGCTTTAATTTTTTTTTAATATTTAAATTATTATATAAATTGCAATTAAATATTCAATGAATTTTATTTAAAAGCTAATGTTTATTTTATTTTATTTTATTTTATTTTTTTCAATTTAAATTTATCTGAATAAAATTAACTTTGATGTTTCATTAATGGTAAAGTTGACCCTTTGGGAAATTTAAATAAAAATTTTATTTTTGATATATAAAATTTAATGAGATAATATTTTATTTTGTAGATATAATTCAATTAAATTATTAAGAATTTAATTAATACACAAAATAAAACTTATTCGAAATAAATTACCGAATTTATGTACGAGGAATTGCTTTTTTTTTTTTTTTTTTTTGNCCTATTCAATAATATTAAAGTTTAAAAGAAAAAAAAATTACTTTTATTAATTAAAACTCACTGCATTGATAGGCAAATATGAATAATAAGTATAGAACATTTAATGAAATATTTTAATAAAATTATCAGGAAAAAAAATTTTTTTTTATGTTGTTTTTTCCATCAGCTTACATTCCTTGTAAAGAAAATACGAAATTATGGTTGGATAGTTCTTCCAAAGAACAAATAACCACGATTAAGAGGGTAAATTGTTACAGTTTTATGAGTTTCCAATACAGTGGAATAACTTAAAAACTTTTTAAATTATAAAACTAGCAATAATATAATAAAAAATAATAATTTATGGAGGATCAAATTTGCATTGTTTATAATCAAATCAATTATTTTTCAGTCAAAAATTTAAATATAAAAGTCTCTTTTTAGTTTAATATTACGATTTAAATAAACACGTAATTGGACATAGATAAAACAAGAACAAAACAAGAACTCCATAAATGAAATAAATTTATTATTATTATTTTTTTTTCTTTGTAATACATAAAACTTTTCAAAGTCTGTCATTTAGACTGACAATATCTAAGCTGTTGTCACAATATATCTAGGCAGTAGATCAAAGAAAAGTAACAATACAGATCACATAGATACATATAGATCATATACAACTCACTTGTCATGATTTATTTCCATTACTCTTATTACAGAGTATATTCTACTCTTTCTATTGCATTCTTCAAACTTTGATAAATAAATATTTACATAATAATTTAAATATAATAACTTTTATTTTGATTTACTTTAACTTATCCTAATATAGGTTATCACATGCTAATGATTATCATGGTTTCTTCACGTATAAATCCAGAATACTAGGTTGGCAATACTTCAATGTAAGCTGAAAAAGTTAAGGATTTTTATTCGTGTGCTAAGTATTAAAATAATAATAAATGATACATTTTAGCTAAAAGTTGTTTTTTGTTTCTCATGTTTTACTTTATTTCCAGAAGGGATAAAACTATAAAAGAAATACAAAAACGAAAAATTGCTTCTGGATACGTTCAATGTATTCTCCAATGACCATCATCCATTTAAGGATATAAAAAAAAAAGAAAAAATAATAATAAAGATGAGGATAATATTTAAATTATAATTTAAATAATAACTACAGTTAATTAATGACATTTTACATCATTAAAGATTAATGAAAGAATTATGATTAGACAACTAAAATTAATTAACTTTACATGAATTCTATACAAGAATGATTCATTAAGATATAGTTAACCTTATTGATATTAGGGGGTTCATTCTTACCTGCCAACTTCTAAGCTGACTAAAGTGTTCTTTGATCTCTTGTTCGATCCTAATGTTTCGTGTCTATATTGTCTGATGAAAGCTACAGGCCAAACTAAAGAACAATCAGTCTCTCCTGGTCTCACAACACCAATTCCATGAGTAAATATTGCTAAATCTACTTCTCCTCTCAAACCAGCTTTTTCTGAGTACTTAGTGGGATGGACGGTGACTGAAAATTTCTCTCGTAGAAAAGAAGCTAAAGTACAAAAAAAAAGAGGGAAAAAATGTATAATATTTTACAGGAATAAAAGATCCACTTATCTTATTTACGGTTTTATAGTCTTAATGCCATTTTCTCTTAAGATTATGTTTATTGATACTCGTAAAAAGTAACCATAAATATAGCATTTTTTAACCAGATTTATGAGAATTATGTCAAGTTTAAAATATTAAATATTACTTTTTTTTATTGTAAATCATACTTGGTGACTATTTAAAAATGTGTGAATTTATATTAACGTATAAACAGTAAAGATATATCGAATGTTGGTGGGTATTAATAAAAGATAAAGAAGTCTACCACTTTAAAAATCCTTCTTATTGTCCCGAAACTCGTTTGTTCCAGGATTTGCATTTAAATGCGAAAAGTTTTCAAAAAATTTGAAAGTTTAATTTTTAAATAAATTTCAAATTTATGTAAAACACAATATTATCGATTCTTTCGATAACGCCTTTTATTAAATAATACTGACTTAACATCGTTTTTCTGATTCAAAAATATATTAAAAAATAATGTTTATAATACAATTTCTTTCTTTATATATTAATTATTTTATTAAAATAACTGAAATTGAATTCATAACTTATTTATCTTTATAATTTTTATACAAAAAAAAAAAGATATTTATATTTATTTTTATTACACATTTTAATTCAAATAGTAAAGTTCAAATGGGGTTAAATAGTCTTTATTTTCTTTGACTTCAATAAATTCTGATTACAACAAAACTGAGTGTGAAGTGTTTTCTTTTATTTCACTCAACCTCAATACAATTGTAGTTACATTAAATCGAGTTAGAAAAAAAAGTAGATAAACTCATCTATCGTCAAGAATAATATTTTATTTTTTTACCTTCTCAAACAATCTTTTAACCTTTTAGAGATTAACATCATCAATTGTGTTCAGATGAAATATCATGATTGATAATCCTTTGTCTCATTAAGCTCTATTGTGCATAACGATCCTACATTGTTTACTTCCTTTCTCATCCCTTCTTAATGATCTTTATCGTAGCTTCTTATTGTTTATGCATCGGTATAGAAGGTAACAAAAGTTTTAAAAATATAATAATAATAATTTAACCTGAAAGCATAGTTAATGTTTACTCCATTTTCTATAATTTTATTTTAAAATCTTGTTCACTTTATTAATTAATTAAACTTCCACGGATTTAATTATGTTTAAATTTTATCTTTTATTATTTAAAATTTTTAATCTTTGTCATTATCCATTATCAATTTTCTGTTACAATTAACTTAATCCTAAATTTTCTGCCTTTATAAGCATCATTACATTTATTTCTCATTTGAGTTCATTTATAAAAGATTTTATAAGCATAAATATCATTTATCACATGATGTTCGATGTTAATTTAATGAAGAATAATTTATTTTTAAGTATTCCTATTTAGTTTAAACGCTTAACATTAAGTCTAATATATTTTTTTTTGTAATTATATATTTAAAAATAAATTAATTACTTATTTTACTGTTATTTTTTTTTTAATAAAGACCTCTTACTTTTAAGATAAGCTGTTAAGAAGATTAGATATGAAAAAGTTTTAAGGTTATTTATTTTTTTTTTAAAAGAACTAAGTAGGTCTAATACTTAATTTCTATATTATTTAATTTTATTTTTCGCTGAAAACTATTTTTCATCGTTTTACAAACTTTTTATTCCTTATTTTTTCTTATTTCTTTGGCGGATTTCCACAATTTTATCAAATCCAAATCACCCCCTTAGCTTTCTTTTAAATCCAACAAAAGGCAATTTGATTCCTTCCTATCATATATCAAACCTTTTCTTTCCCTTTCCTCGGTAAATAAAATATAGAAAATAAATAATTAAATTTAAAAAAAATTCTCCTGTTAAAAAAGTTTACAATTTTTACGTCAATTTTGCGTCATTACTTCGGTTTTAGAATGAGAAATCTTAAAGAATGACGTCAAATTTACGCAATAAAAAATGTGCACTATCTCAACCAATCGAATAGATCTTTAGATAATCAGTAACTTTATTCACCTTTTCCTTTTAGTTACATTTATTTATTAATGTAAACTTAATTGATGTGTGTTAAGCTTGTTGATATAAATCTATTATAACTAAATAAACTGTTAATAAGTCTATATTGATACGTATGTAATGCAGTTAATATATGTCAAAGTGATTAATAATTATAGGAAATTAATAATTCTAAGTAATTTATAACCATATAAGCTTAGAATAATTGATAAACATCCGCAGAAATTGATACAGAGTACAACAACAACGATTCTTTATTCTTCTTGGCAAATTATTTCTCTCTCTCTCTCTTAGCCTTGATTGTTAACATTAAGTAATACTTAGAATCTTTTATATTGTATATAATTAAGAAGAAAATATAGTTTACTTACGTAGCAGTAATAATGTACACCTGTCTCATTAGGAAAAATTATTACTAGTGATTAATGTTGTAATCCTGCCTCTAATGCTCAAAATATTATTATTTTCTGTACCATTAAAGAATGTTTGCAGTGTTAAAATATGAAAAATAAGTGGGTTTTTTTTTCACTATTTTAATCTTACATTTGAAAATATTCTCGAATTACCATTTAGAAGATTAGAAGAGCAATTGATGCAAACTTGAAGCGTAGATAACAATTATCTTAAGTTTAAAGAAGAAAATAATCGAGAAATGACTAAAAAGTTAAATTAAGAAGAAGAACATAAATGTATAAAGACTTACTATCGATGCCAATATCTTCGAAAACTATTGAGGAATCGAAATCTTCTTCGGTATCCGTTGATAGAGAATCGTGAATTTGTCGCTCTAAAGAACACGAACAACTCTTCGGACTTCTCTTCTTTATTCTTTCAGTATTTCTCCTTTCGCAAACTGGTCTCCAATTAGGATCCATAGTAGAACCTTTATGGGCTACTAAACTAAGAGCTAACAGCCACGATTTCCCACCCAACTCATCATCGGAAGCTAGAACCAAAGGCGCTTTACCGTGACAAACCACAACGATACAGAATGGAAATCGGCTAGTATCTTCGATTAAACCAATATGGACGGCGTGATTCAGATCTAAACATATTTGTGGTTTTGTTGTTATTTTATTTATAGCGGAAGTTTGATTATCGTACATTTCTAGCACCGGACCTTCCGTTTCGTCTCTCAGCACGAAGTATCTCTTATGCCATGCCTACGGAATAAATTACGCTAAAATTAATTACTTCAATACAAATTTAAATACGGTTAATTATCTGAAATTTAAAAAAAAAAACAACCTTCCATTAATTTCACAGAAAATTAATTATAAAATCGATTATTTTAATTATCATCTATACTTTAAATCGTTAAACATTAATTTGTATAGAAAAAAAACAAGGGAGGGTGCCGAATACAAATTCTTTTCGATAAAAGTTTAATTATCTTTATTGAGAATGTGCATTTAGTTAGGAATAAATATCCTAATGTGTTTTTGCATCCTCTCGAGTATTGTATTACTTTACACTTAAAACTTTTCTACACGATTCTGCTATTTATAAAAAGAAATAATTTCATTTTATAAATATTTAATCTTCGTTTCTGTATTTAAAATAAATTACTTCTTTTAAGTTTAAAATAGAAGATTCTTATCGTGGATCATCGATTAATATTGGCAGAAATACTCACTAAATCTAACAATTTATATAACCATTAAAGAAAAGTCAAAATTTTTGTTCTTCTTCTTTTTTTTAATCTTATAAATATTTACTTGTTAGAATATATTTAAAGAGTAAGAAAAGAAAAGATTTACAGATGTCTCTCACAATCAACATTTGGATTAAATCCAAAATAGCCTCAAGTAAATGGATTCTATGGTTTAGATTTTTTTTGTTTTCGTCTTATTCTTCTCAATAACTATAATCTATTCTTTTAAAATATATTAAAAAAATACCCATTTCGATCCGTGTTCAAATTTCTCACTGACAAAATTATCCCAGAGGGTGTACCGCGAATAAAATTTATTGTAAAGATCACCTTAGGTGGATGTTGGCAATTGGATACCAATCGAAGAAGTTAATGACTTGGATCGATGCTGGATAACTTGTAGGGAACATTTCTTAAGTGTCAAGTGTGCGGAATTAAAATGTATATCCCTATCCGAGTCTAAAAAAAGAAAAAAAAAAAGGGAAAAATTCTACTTCTACACCTTCATCCCATTAACAAATCAAATGGATCCTTTCCTCTCTTTTTTTTTTTTTTTTTTGATTGATTTCTATTGATTTCTTAAGCACCGTACTTAATTTAATTTAAACAGATGATTCTGTAGATAATTTTAAACAATTTTCTACGTATAATCTGTTATTAAATGTCGAATTTTTTAATATTTTTCTACTGATAAATAATGGAGGAGTTACGTGCTCAAATGTCGAAGGAGTTTTATTAATGAAAGCCTTTACTGTTAATACTGAAAGAGTGATTATTATTATTATTATTATTGAAAAAGTTTGAAGGAGGAAAAAAAAAAAAAAAAATTAAGTTAAGATTTAAAAGGACTGTTGAAAGTGTAATTAAATATTAAATTCGTTGTAAAAAATGTGGAAAAAATACAAGAGACACGAATTAAAATCAAAATTAAACAATGAAATCTTCAGTTAAATTAGTGTATAATTTAAATTTATAACGTTTTTAAGTATTAATAGTCGAATAAAATATTTAAAAAAGGAAGAAATATTACAAGTTTTAAAAGAATTAACAATAAAAAATGAAAGATAAATACAGTATATATGTAAAAAAAAATAAAGTGTATACTGTAAGTGATTAAATGATATAAGAGAAGCAAGGAATTTAATTAAATGAATAAAATTTAAATATTATACGGTTTGATGTATTAAATATGTAATTTTTTTCAGTTTATTTCTTGCAAATAACAGCTTATTTACGTTTTAAATAGTTCAAAACTTACAGAATTTATAAAATTAATAAACGACTTTTATACTATTCGAAAGAAGTTTAGTAATATTAACTTTTTTTTTTTTAACATTAAAAAGCTAGTAAATTTCCATCTTGTTTATTACTAGATAACACAATATTGTAAGCTCTTCTCAAGCACAAACTTCTCTTCTTACTGAAAATTCTCTTTCATTTATCACTGTATAAGAAGAAGAAGAAGTTAATAATTTACTACATTTATCATTAATAATACTGAATAAAATGAATTATTAGCTGAATAAAATAGTAGAAGAACTTCGTTATGAAAATATCCTATAAAAATTTAAACTAGTATCAAGGAACTGTATTATTTTTTCATCGACGTTCTTCAATGCTAGTGCTGTGTTAAAATTTAAAATAACCGAATGAAATGACTTAAATCTTTAGTTTTTAGTATATAAAATCATAAATAAATCATCGTTGCCGAAGAATTTTCTTTTCTATCATCGTTTTTTCTAAAGAAAATCATTTATTTATAACGTTCTAATTGTTAGAAACAGATCATTGAATTAAAGATGATGCGGAGCAAAGTATTTGCTCCGCATCATCTTTAATCCGCATCATCGTTAGGAGAAGAAAAATATTTAGAAAATGATGATAAAAATTCATAAAACAAAATTAAATCGAGAGTGTTTTTTTTAATTATTAACTTAATTATTAATCGATGGTACGGTATCGATTTTAATCGAGTTGAACAGGTGAGATTAGTGTTATCTGGGGAACAAAACGTTAGTGTTTTTTAACTGTATATCCTGTAAGGAAACAATAAACTGGGAGGTTTCCTGAATAGAAAAAAAAGAGAAAACAAAAGAGATAATCTTACCGTAAAGTTATCTTAAAACTTTTTAGAGTTTTAGTGTTGAATTTCAATAAAAATTTCATTGTAGAATCTGTAATAATGTAGCATTTTCATGTTAATCTTTTGTGTCAATCTAAGCGATCTTTCGCTTAAATTACTAGTCAGATTTTCAATAATTTCGCGTAGAATATTAAAAAAAGAAGCCAAGAGAAATGTTTTATTGAAGATTTTCATGGAAATAAAACGATAGATCAATCATTTTTTTTATATTTTTTTAAATTAATAATCGCATTTAAAAAAAAACACGATAATCGAACTTATCGATAACCTTGAAGTGTATATAAAACACTCTTTTAAATACGAATAAAAATTTAAATAGATAAAAATAAATCAGCCTGTTAGCTTTATAACTTTATTAAATTCGTAGATATTTAAAAAAAATCATTAAAAAATAATGGACAATAATTTTTTCTTATTACTTTTTATGTCAAGGGCATCAATATTAACTGAGTAAACACGTTCTTCATTTTCTAATTTTTTAGATAAGAAGTGATTGTATCACTTTGAACTCTTCTGTAATGATAACATTCGTGATAATCATTAATAAAAAAAATATATATATATATCATTAAATATAAAGTTACTTTAATATTCGAAGCATTGAAAAGTATATTCATCTTCTATCTTCGTTTTCTACATTATCGATCCTTTCAAAAATATTATTATTTTATCTTAGTAGATGCCATTAAATTTAACAAAATCGCGTTAATGTTAAAATTAAATTTTCTCGTAAATCAGTAAGAATTAATGGCAAGTCAGTATTAATGTTTGTCGACAAATAATGTTTTAATATTTGAAAAATAAATAAGTTTAAAAAAAATAAGTTATATTCTGTTTATTTCTACTTAATTTTAAATCTAAATTGCATTATTTAATACTTATTAATTTGTATAAAATGTGTAAAAAAAAATAATTAATTTTTAATATAGAATTTCTTATTATAGATTGATGAAAAGATTTTTCTCTTCTATAATTTCTAGGTAATGATGCTATTATTATTCATTAATAGTAATAATAATAATACGTTTCTGTAGAAATGATTGGTAGATACAAATTACTATTTTGAAGATAATGACAATAATAAATTAGTATTAATACTGAAAATAGAAATATTCTACTTCAAGATGTTACATAGAAAGTAAACATGATGCTGCTGTGATATGAATGATGTATAACATATATATATATATATATACATCGTGTGTGTGGCTCGTTATAGCTTTATGAGGCCCAGAAAAATTTGTATTAGAGGCCCCTCGTAGTGTCGACTTCAGATATTTTTCTTCGAGGAAATTTTCTGATGAAAGATTAGTTTGGGAGGGGCCCCAGCGATTTCCCTTTTTGCCCATAACATAACGCTCCATTGTATATTTATATATACACATATACAGTATACGTGATAAACAGTTAAAGATATTTATGAAATATTTCCCTTTATAATTGAATAAAATCTAATTTAAACTGCAATAAATTAAAAAATAAAAGCCAAAGATTATAGAAAATATATTATAAGATCTATCAGTATTGATTTAGACGAAATAATGTACTGGAAGATTACGGATAATCTGTATCTAATCCGAATACTTATAAGATTAAGGTACTATCACTCCCGCATTTATTAAGCCATCTCGAAGGAGACGTAGAGTAAAGTTAATTGTAGCAATTAATTAAATTATTAAAAATGTCTAAAACGACTTAATTATATCTATTGATTAGTTAAAATATTTAACCAATATAACCTAATTTGTAGAAATGCGATGAAGCACTCTAATTCTTTGATATGCTATATACATCCCATTGCATAAATAAGGTCACTAAGCCAATTGATTTCTATCTCTTATCTGTGGAATTCTATGGCAAATTGCGGTATTACATCAATCAACAAACTAGCCCGAGAGGTATATCTAGCTTAATATAGTGATCTTATTTGGGTCTGGTTTCTCGATGGAAAGATTGACTCGTTCTGTACTGTAAATCAACTTCTTTTTCCCCCCCTCTTTTTTCCTTTAAGGACGGCGGAACTTGAGGCTAAATTTCTATAAATTAATACCACTCGTTAAGGAAATTAACGTTCCGTAAACTGTTTAGTTTAATAAACCAGCGTGAAATGACATTAATAAATAAATTAAATTTCCTTAATATTTAGTTGGAGAATTTAGTTTTGGCTTATCGAACTTTCGTTAATATAAAAATAAAATTTCAAAAAATCGGGACAATATGTAAACTTAATGGAAAAATCTATAATATTTTTGCACATGTATAAACAACAATATATTATATGTAATTTGCATAGCTTATATTTTATTAAAGTTAAATATAACAACACAATGCTTAATACTTATCGAAACGTTATTTTATCGTGGAAATTATTTCAATAATTCATATAAAAATAAGTAAAAAAAAAACGAATATAATAATAATAATAATAATAATAATAATACCTTTAGTTTATCGAAGTATCTTCGAGGAGGTCTTTTAACAAATAAGTATCCCTGTTTGACAACTTCGCTCACAGCCAGACACACGTCAGCCTTCTGTTTTGTCGCCATCTCCGCACGTGCCACATTCTGTCCCCATCCAATGATACTCGCTACTTTAATTCTACATTGCGCCAATAGCTTGCGCCACTGTCCAGCCTATTTTCCTATATAAATATATTTATGTGCTGCGCGTATGTGTGTGTTTGTGTGTGTCGATTGATTGATAGTTTATTGTCAAGATAAATATTATATGATATTTGTCTTTAAATATTAAATTAAAAAAAGAAATAAAATGTTTTCATTTTTTTTTTACATTAGTTTAGACGTTCTACACACTTAATTTAATACAGTAGTTGTTTAAATGATTTAAACGTGTATAACTTTATAAAAAATGTTATAAACTTTTTATATATTCTATTTTAATCACGTCACACTATTTATACGTAAAGGTTAATAACGTAACGACTTTAATTGTATAGTGTTTTTTTTTTCAGTAGGCGTGTTATTTTTTTACTGTTTTTATAACGTAGTTTAATATTATAATATGTGATATTTATAGTCATTTATTATATAATGTGGTAAAATGATTGACCCTCACACGCTTTGCTATAATTTGCAGTGATTATTGATGACATTGCTATGGCTTTAGGCGGCTTTCTTAATGATGTTTTTATTACTACAGTTTTGTAACGGTGTTGATATTTACACAGCTTCTGACTTAATATTGAAACAATTTTTGACATTGACACTACTTTTTTTACGCTTCTTAATTTTATGACAATTTACTTTAGAACAATTCTTTTATTGTCTTCTGTTATACGAAAGTTTTAAATTATTATTTGTTTTAATGCCGTTTACTTCTATCCATTCAGAATTTATAACAATCGTCTATTAGTTGAGGTATTTTTTTTCTTTCATTTAATAGCTTAGTTTATGTTTATATCAAAGTTAAAATTACTATTCAGTAGTAAAGAATATATAATTATCAACACAGAATTAATGTACGTTATACACAATAACAAAGAAAACAATGTATAAAATTATACATTATAAATCCCCACTGTTATCGGTCCATCCGCTGTCTTTCCTTAATCTCGAGAACAGAGTTAGATAAGTGAAATTAGGGAAAAGATATAGAAAACTCAAGGGTATGAGGCTCAGATTAAGTATATACAAACTTCCGACATAAACCGGACGTTAGGTTATTTCGATTCAAAAATTTATTCCAGAAAGGTGTTAGATAGACGACCCGCATGGCTCTATTGTTAAAGGAAAAGTATGATTTACAGGGGCAAGCCACTTACTAATTTGAGGTGGAAAGCATATATTTTAAATTAAATAAACGATGTCACAATCTTAATTTATATTTACACACCTCCCACATTAATTTACTACATTTTAATATATTTTTTTTGTTATTCTCTTAACATTATTGATAAAAATATCAAGTAATGCAAATAATACTTTCCATTATTTACATTACTTGTTATTCATTTAACTTCTAAATATATAAATATTTTATTTAATTAGTAATTTATTTAAACATTAAATTATCTTATTACATTTATATATTTTAATTTTAACCTAGATTTTAAACGATTTACAATTCAGCATAAACTGGGAGATGTATTTAAAGTACTCATAAAAATTTATTGAATATATTTTTATGGAACTTTTATTCTATTAAATTATGCTGGGAGGTGTAAAAATGGAATAATATCCATACTTTTCAATATAAAATTGTATTACAACTAACAATATTTTCATCATTCCAATGTTTTAAACAACTAAAATAAAGGAAGAAACAATTATTTCCTCCCTCTTTCTTTAGCTTTTAAGAGTTATATCCCGACTCTCTTTTTTTGGGGAGGGGGATTTAACACAAAAAGTGATATTTAATTTATTTATATCGCTTATATACAGTCGACTCCCTATAACAGTGTTGATTTTTCCGTTTTATATGAATTCCATGTTGTACGAGTCACTTAGATTTTACAAATATGTGTGCCGGGCTCTGAACGGCTCATTATTTGTAAAATCTAAGTGACTCGTACAACATGGAATTCATATAAAACGGAAAAATCAACAGTGTTATTGGGGGTCAACTGTAAGCTAATATTACTGTGAAGAAACGTCACAATATTAATTATTTAACACTATTTCTCTTATATAAAAGTAGCTTTTGATAATATTTGTATTCATTAAACGCAAATATACAGGATAATCCTAAAAGTAATATGACAGTTCTACTAAAATATAAAATCTTTAACTGCTTTATCAATTCTGGGTTACACTATATTATTTACTATTGGGGTCGTGTTGTAATCCGTACAATGATCACGCAATTTTATATTTTTAGATATCATTTATTCATTTTTTGGAATAAAATAAATAAGTTCAGATGCAAATAATATTTTTTATGAATTTATTTATTTTATTATAATAAGTTTGAAAATTTTACTCGTGTCGCCATCTGTACTTCGCTTTTTAAATTACAAATATAATTTATTTTATTATTTATTTTTATATATTAAATATAATTTTTTTAGTAATAATCTTTTGATTTAAAATATTTTAAATATTTTTTTTTTAGTATAAAAAGTTTTTTCTTGCAAATTGTTCATTATTATCACTCCATCCATTATTAACACGTTAAACATGAACAGAATAATAACAATATCTTATGTATTAACAGCAAAGTTATGAATATAAATGACTTATTATCTTTATTATTTTAATTTACATTTAAAAAAATGAATATAATAATTTATTTTCATTTGTATAATAAAGTATAATTGACATTAATAATTAATTATTTATAATATTAAAGAGGGGTGGAAAAAAAACGCCTTAAAAAGTCCGAATTAATGTTGAAAAAAATTAATTTAAAACTTTTAAAAGAGATTAACTCTAATTTATAAGGTTTAAATGACACATTTTGCATATTTTGACACATTTATAATACCAAAATAGGGCTACTCGAATGAATTTAGAAAGAGAGTATTCAAGTACACAGCTGCATCAGGGATTATGAACTAAATTTAACAATGAAGTTAAGGAAGAAGCATAATATAGAAGAGCTAAGATGAAATTTGACGCTCCACTTCCTTCTTTACTCCGGATATATTGCAATGCTTCAGCTCCTTTTCAATCTAAAGTGGGTTTCATAAGGACCAGATGAGGGAGGCCCTATACGTGTTATATAGAGACTGGCTGTTTCGTCTTTCAGAAAAAAAAAAATGGTTGTAACTTCTGTATAACCTTATAAATAAAAAATTTTGTGTTAAAAATTTCAATATCAATCGTGTGTCGAATCGAATCGATTCGTATATAACTGACAAATTTCGTGTCAATTTGTCGTGAACTTCGATTCTGTAAACCTGTTGAAGTGGTTTATTTTTGACTTTCAAAACTGCTTTTGGGTATGGAAAATGAATTGAACAGGTCCGGTGGAAGGAAAGAATCTTCCACAAAAAATAAATAAATAAATAAAATTGATTTTTGAAAGAAGAATCGTGAAGGAAATACATGAAGGAATCAATCATGGCGGAAATATAAAGTATTTGGTTTGTCAATTTTGAATTTAAATTAACCAATAGGAAACGTTTTTGTGTATCTATCATTTTTTTTTAAACTTTCAAATACTATAATCAAGTCAAAATAAGATGAATTTATATATTTTATTATTATTATTATTTTTTTAGATAAGAAAATTTTTTAACGCAGAGTGGTAAAAATTCTCTGTAGACTGGTACTGATCTGCCGGACGAGCAGTTGAGAAATGCTGCTCTGGACTATCATGGTTCCTTGGATCACTATTAGAGTTGACCATCTGTCATATGTAATGACACTCCAGATCATCACACCTGCTGTGGAGGCAGTGTGCCTCTCCAAAGTGTAGGCAGGATTGAGGCATTCACCATGGGCCTCCAGACACAAACATGGCCCCAAACTGAATCTGGATTTGTCTCTGTAGACAACCTGGTTCCATTTCATTGTGGTCCAATCCTGTTGGGAGTGACATCATTCCAAATGGAGGCAATAGTGGGTGGCTGTCAATGACAGCACATGTTATGGCTGCTATAATACCAAATGTTCCTCATCTAGGCACCTCAAAATGTTATGGACAGACCTAAGTCTGTAATGATGGTACCACCTGTGTCTGGATATGGACAAGGATATGGTCTGCTGTGTGCATGCTTGTTGGAGGATCAGGTAGTCTTCTCAGGTAGTGGTCTGCCGAGAGTGTCCTGAGCCTGGATGTCGTGTGTGCAAGCTCTCTCTTATCCACTGGTACCAACACCTCACAGTATTGTCAGAATGGCCTAGGTAGCAAGCTGTTCAGTGAGATGCCCATCCAGCTTCTCTCAACCTGATGATCCTTTCCCTCTCAAACTCAGTTAGTTGTTTATACGGTTTTTGATTGCAATGTAAAGGTGTCTCTATTGATACAGCATCTCTCTGCAACAAGTAAACTACAGACAGGATGCTTTTGTGTACTCCCTGCTGGCATTATGTGATGAACCATCATGCTATAACTCTAATCATTTCCATATCTGTTTGAGACATGCCACATTTTCAAATTTTGCAATGATATGGCAATTCCTTCTTGATGTGCTAATTTTTATGGCAATGAGTGTACATATGTTATGGGCCAAGTGATTAATAGGGCATTATTTATAATGCTCGACCATTATGAATAATGACTAAAATGGCCATGTAGCTTGATAAATATTGGTTAATTTATTAAATTGACCAGACATTATGAATAAAGCTACATTCCCTTTGTGCAATTTGATTNGATAAAATATAAAATTAATATTAACATTTTTTTTAAATATTTATAACACGAAAAAATAAACTGTTTAAAAATTAATTTTTAATTAAATTCTTGTTTCTATATTATTATAAATTTATTTTGTTATATGTATATTAAATAAATCATTAATGGAAATATTTATATATTATCATTAACTGTCGCCATCTGTTAACGAAATTTTGAACTTTTTATACGAGTTTAATTTTAATAATATTTCATATTTAATTTTAAAAAATAAGATTAATTATTA